TTTTTTATTAATACAGTATAATTGTGCATAAAAGTGAGATTTTATGTTCATATATGCACATAATCTTTCCAAACTTTTTAAATCTAGAGGATAGCTTTGTAGTAATTTCCCCTTCTATCCAAGATGAATGAGGCTCAAACTGAAGTCTTATCCCCGTTCAAGAATTTTATGAAACATGCTGATTTTTWAAAATTGGTGCATTGTAATTATGGGCTTCTGTTGTTACATATTCATACCTGCCCACAATGTAACAATATACTCTGGTTATTGCTTTTTTTTTTTTTTTGCAACTGTGGACACTCCCATTCCAACTCCTAAGACCATAAGACATGTGACACCAATAAGCACAAGAATTACAGCATCTCAAGAGATATTAAGTCTATGATTTGGTCTATAAGTGAGGAAACTGAATCTAGGAAGTGTAATGACTTACTCGGTGTCCTACAGAGAATCCCTACAAGAGCGGGACTAGACATCTGGACTGTTGATGCCTGTCCTCCACTTTCCCACTTCACCATGACACCTCAATTAAGCTAACTGAAGGTTTCTCAAAAGTCTATTCAAATCTGAGTTGTTGGAAAGATGCCCTTCATGCACCTTGGCTTCTAGAGTTTAACTGTGGCTGGATGTGGTGGTGCATACCTCTACTCCCAGCAACTTGGGAGGCTGAGGCTTGTCTAACATGCACTGAAAAAACAAAACAAGAAAGGATGGGGAATTATATAGGTGAGAAAGGTGACTATCCTGAAAGATAGCTGGTGTGTCATTGGGTGCACGTGAACATGCCCACTGATCTTATCTAAGTTCTATGCTTGGCTCATCAGCTTTTAGCCTTCGTTTTCAACCATTTAAAGTTTTATATTTTTCTCCAAGCACAAGTTCAGCCATATCTCATGTGGTTTGATATGTAGTATCTCATTCTTGTGTGGTCTTATATATTCTCAAATTTCTTATTTGATATATGAGTTATTTATAAACATGCTTTTTTTTAATTATACTCTTCTTTTCTCCTCGAGTCTAATTTAGATGTACTTCTGGGTTTCTGCAGCCCTGTGTGCTTTCTCTTTTATACTCTATTATAGTACTGGCATAATTAGCATACTTATGTCTCCCACTAGTCTCTAAGTTCTTTACAGTATTGGGAATTGAACCCAGGAAGTTTCTACCTCTGAGCTAGGTCCCTAGCCCATTTTTGTTTTCTTTTCTTT